AAAAAAAAAAAAATCCTTCTGCCATTTTCATCCTTCGGTTCATGAGTGTGATGATTGGGTGTTCATGCCTTATGCATGAGATGTGCCTCCCACAAACCTTGTTACGACATGGGCACATTCCCCATCTGACATGAAAAAAAAAATTCTGTTTCATTTGTTCATACTTTAAACATGGCTCAAGTCTCTGGGAATTTTGTGGCTTTTAAAATGGGTTTCCTTAGAGGAGGGGCTGGTGAGATAGCTCAGCCATCTAAAGCACCTGCTTAGGCAAGCTTAGGCAGCTGCAGGGGACTAAGGTTCTATCCCTGGTACCACATGCCACACCAGCCCCGCTCTCAGGGCAGGCTGAGCCAGTACCCCCCCCCAAAAAAAAAAATTCTATTTAAAAAGTAAATAAAGGGGCCGGGGAGATGGCTCAGTAGAATAAGCACTTGCCTAGCAAGCACAAAGGCCTGAGTTCAATCCCCGGTTACGCAAAAAAAAAAAAAAAGAATAAATAAAATAAAACGAGTGTCTTTTTAGATATATACTTTCTAAAATTGTGTAAGATACGTAAAATATTGTTATTGAAAGAAGCTTACATGTAATCTTCTCTGTTCATCATTGTGTTGAAAAAAGTGAAATTTATAGCTGACCTTGGGTCAGCACTTAATTAGTCATCCCATATCAATGCAGGATATTATTGTATATCAGGAATTCCTGGGTTAGTGTCCAGCCCAGAACTGTCAGTTTCTGGTCTAATGAAGTCTCAAAATAGCTCTCAGTTTAAATAGAAATGTATTGAGTACCTACTGTGTGTTAGGCACTATATTAGGGTTACCTCTGAACTGTAATTCAGGTATTGTTCAAATTTTAAATGAAATATATATAAATACTTAAATATGACTCACAATGAAGGCTGGGAAGATAGTGGTTTAAGTGCCTGCCTGGCAAGTACAGGATCCTGAGTTCAATCTGCGATACCTAAAATAAATAAGTATCTGGTAAGGAAATCTATAATCAGTAGAAAAAGAATGCTTGAGTATATAAGTGTAGTAGAGTAAGCAAAGGGATTAATTTATGACCAGAATCCAGGGCTTCAGTTTCTAGTTCATTTTTATAACAAGCAATGAAATGTCACATAGAGAACATATTAATATCTTGGAAAAATTGTTAGCTGATGCCTCTGAGGAAATTTCCTATGTCATATCTATCTCCTTATACTATTCTCTGAGCTTCCAAAGAGCAAGAATTAATAACTCACATTTTACTAAGTGCTTACAATGTTCATCACAGCAACTCCATAGCAACTTTTACAGGCTTTAGCAACTTACTGAAAAATCTCACACTAATAACTGACAAAGCTCTTTTTCAAAACCACCTCAGCATGACTTTGTAATCAGTGTTCTTTCCCACGATAGCATCCTGTTCCCAGACCCCATTATGGCCAATCTGGCTATTTAGAAATGCTGTTGATGCTGAAATAACTAATGGATAACTTTCTTCTTGTACCTTGCTTGACCAGATTCCTTGTTCTTAAAAAAATTTTACTTTTTAGTGTTTAAAGTAGGTTTAACCTGAAAATATCAAGACTTACATTATATTGCAAAATAAAATTCATTCCTACTTTTTGTCCCTTGCAGCCTTTCATCACGTTTCTGTATATCCAAAGAAGGAACTTCCTTTTTTCATCCACTTTACAGCAGGACTGTGTTCTTCTACAGCAATGATAGCTCTTCTCACACACCAATTTCCTGAAATCATGGGTGTTTTTGCTAAAGCTGTAAGTATGATCTCAAGGACTTGTATAGAGTATTTGTAAAGCACAAAAGAAATCATCTCTGACCTGTTTGTGCTAACTCAGATGAGCAGTAGATGTTTGTTGTAAAGTTACTGCCATAAATGTGCAAATGTAAGATTCTGGTGACTTGAACTATACTTCTGTTGCTTAAAAGTTTAAAGAATACCGTGCTGTAACATTATACAGTTGTTTTTTCATAGATCACCTTTGGTGATAGACTGAATTGATAGAATAATCTAATTCTTTTTTGCCTTTCATACATTTTCTTTGGCATTTAAAAATTTCCATATTTTGTAACCAAACCTTTTGATTATTCTGTTTGAATGATGTCATTAGTTCTCAAATTTGCTAAATTTTATATTGAAGAGTACAACTAGGATGGAGAATAAGTAGGTAAGATGGCCCCAGGTATAGAATGTTTCATATTAAAAGGTTTGCCCAGTTACAGTGTCTGTATCTTCTTATTTATCTCCCCACACCATATGTAGGCCTCTATTTTTATCTTTTAGTTTTAAACTGCTTCTCTGTGTTTCCTAACCTAGGAAATAGCTTCAGTACTGACGTTAAAGAGAGTTCCCATGACTATTCATATTGTCATTGGTTCAAGGTAAAATACCAAAGAGAATTTCCTTTAAGTCTCCAAACCTTATAAAAAATGCATCTTTCTTGTACATCTTTATAATTTTATTGGGTGATAAGTTGTTAAACTGTAAAAGAAAATGATAATTCATTTTACATTCAAAGTAAAAGCACATTAGAACCCTAGAAAAACAAATCCTTCCTTGGTACTACATATTTTTCTCTATATACCTCCATTCTTACTCCCTGTTTTCCTCACAATTTCCTTTCCTGCCTTAAGAAAATTTTGTTTTGTGCCTTACAGATTAGCTGTCTTTATTCTGGCACCATGGTTAGAGCACTGGTTTCCCATTTTCCCAGAAGATCAACTGTACAGTGTGTTTGGTTGCCACTGGCTGTAGACCTAGGAGTCTTGAGTATGCATTTGATTCTGGGTCAAGCATCAAGAATGACTTTTCCACTGTTGTTCAGGGAGTATAGATATTTGGGTTGGAAACTAACTATTTCCTTTTACTGTAGAAAGGAAGCTTAGCGATTGATTATATTGTAACAGTGTTGTTTGCAAGGGTGCTGAGAGGGGAGTTATGCATCAAATTGAAATGAACTTCCTGTGTAATCCTGCATGAAAAAAATGGACTAGAAAGGGAAGCCCATCAATTTTAGCAGCTGAGGGAAAATATGCAACTGTGTATTTTAAAAACATAAGCAAGCAGTGGGAGAAATGGTTTGTGAATTTCTCTGAGGCAGTACAGTGGGAAGGAAGAGAAATAGAGCAGGGAGAGAGAGCTAAACCCTGGACTAGATACAGAGCAACTGTTAGTAGTGTGTTTCCATGATGTACTAGCTAAAATTAATGTGGAGTGTGCTCACTGTATGCTCTATATGTCAGTGTTTGTTTACAGCGACTGCCTTTGCCTAAGAAGGCACTAATGGCACCAAGAAGAGCTTTTAAGGTTGCATCATGTAAGTTCCTTAGCACTCCTCTAATAGGGTCTGAGAATGAAGAATTACATGTTTTCAAGTGGAAGCTTTCTTTAAGAGTAAAAGTTATTGATGTACTGTGATTCTAGTTGGTATACAATAAACAAACGTTTACTCAGTTAACTTTTGGTTTTTGTATACTGTAGTTGGGGTACATAAAATTTAAAATGTCCCTGAGTGAACTTTTACAGGTATATTTTAACCTTATGACATTTACATGCACCTATTAAATTTCTAAAAGATAAATATTTACTGATAGTGTGATCAAACCAGTACCTGGCATGCAGCGGTTTCAAAAATAGGTCCCATTTAAATTTTATTTATATGTGTGTTGGGGGGGGGGTCTCCAGCTCAGCCCACCAGGGGGCAGGGCTGGCTGGCATGTGGTGCTGGGGGATTGAACTGTGGTCCCTGTGCTTTGCTAAGCTTGTTCTAAGTAGGTGCTTTAGATCACTGAGCCATCTCACCAGCCCCAATAGGTCCCATTTAAGAGTTAATGGAAAATGATTACAGTATGGGCAGTCTCAAGCTTCTGAACAACACAGATAAATGCCTTGGCAGACAAATAGCAAGGGAACTAGTTTCAAGTTCTGTTTCTGCACCACTTTGTAAGATGTGGTTTATATGCCAGGGGCCAAACTCTCACCCAGGAGCTGGTAAAAAATGCAGAGCCCCAGGCAGTACCACAGGCCTCCTGACTTCGAGTCTGCATTGTAACAAGATCCCCAAGTTATCCAGTATGAACATTTAAGCTTGAGACATCTTGTTGTGTTCTTTCTTCCCAATCTGGAATGTAGCACAGCTCAATAGTACCACCTCATCCAAATGGAGAAGGGGCAGAATTGCAGAGTGGTTTTGGTTAGAGCTTGGAGGCAGACTGCTTTGCTTTAAATTCCATTCCTGACACTTAGTGGTTGTGCAACTTCAGGTAAGTTATTTTATTATCTCTACCCTTAATAGTAAAATGAGAATAGCACTGCTGTATAGATTTGGGTGACAGTTAAATGAACTAAAATATATCAAGCATTTAGAACTGTGTCTGCCTACCCACAATATAAAGTAGGGGGCCAGGGAGATAACTCAGTAGAATAAGCACTTGCCTGGCAAGTGCAAGGTCCTGAGTTAATTCCCCAGTACCACAAAAAAAAAAAAAAAAAAAAGGTATTAGCAGTTCTTCCTTCTCCTTATCATCCTTATCACCAAAGAGCAGCTGTAAAGGAGATAAGTCCTAACAGGAAGCCTAAAATGCATTTTCCCATAAAAACTGAAGCCTGAATGGTGTTTGAATATCATTTAAATGATGCTATTAGTATCATACTATTAGTGCTGTACATTTGGTACATTATGTATATGTTAACCACAAAAGGAGGAAAAATGTTTCAAGTTCCTGCCACAGGCAACCTTGTTGATAAGTTATAAGCTACCTATGTTAGGATATTCATTTAAGTCAGATATCTGATGACCAACTGAAGTAGGAACTGATGAAGTATATTTGAAACATACTTGTTCTTCTACTTAGTAAGACAATATCATTTAAGAAAAGTTCCTAAATTCATTGTTACCTTTTTCTCTCCCTCATCTAACATCTTTTTGAGTTTTGTGTTGCTTTACGTGTGTTGAAGCATGGTCTCATTGATTAGTTCAGGCTGGCCTTGAACTCATTATGTAACCAGGCTGGCTTCAAACTCACTAAGATCCTCTTGCTTCAGCCTCCCAAGTGCTGAGATTCCAGGCATGTGCCACCACACCCAGCCTAATAGCTTTTTATATTAGCTTACATGGTGGAACAAATTCAATTTAGATTTCTGAAAATGTATTCATTCTAGAATTGCTTTTTTTATGATGCCAGGCACTGAAGATTAATAATTTTTAATAGTTTTCACTGTATAGTTGAGTTAGATAAATGGAAGGGAATAATCCAGAATGTTTAATGGTTGTTTCTTCTTTTACATGGTATAAGGATATATGGAATAAGATTTCATATTTACCAGATTAGGATTTTTTTTCCCCTGATTTTTCTCCTGACTGAGATGAAAATCTGGTTTGACATTAGATGTAGAGCAATGAAAAGTTGCATAAATCCCTAAAGATGTGGAATGTGCTGATAGCAGAGCTGGTACTCTCCAAGGCCAGAATTCCTGAAAAAGAAAAAATTGCTTTTAAGTGGTAGGTTATTTTCTCACCTGCTTTGAAGCCTGCTGGGTTAAATATGAGAGTTCAAAGTAAGGGTAGCCAGCAAACCAACTGAACTGGAATCTGATTCTGCTTATCTGAAAGGAGCTTCTTTATTTAAGAGCAGCACTGCCCTCTCCTTAGAGAACCAGTCTTCATGTACTCAGGCCCCCTTTCATTTCTCTCTTGCAGAGAAAGCTTTCTTTTAAGTAAGGCTTGGAAGGGTGTTATCACAAAAGTGAAGACTTAAAGATGGTCTTTGGGGAGTTCACTAACTCACTGATGAGTTCAGGCTTGTGGCATGTGATTTTAGTGTTTTCAGTTGAGAGGTGTGTTTGAATATAAAAGTCCCTACTTAAATTTTAACTAAATAGGGTGGTCTTTGCCATGTTTGGCAGAAAACAAACAAAAACATTTGGGTAAAGTCGGGAATAAAAGATTTCATAAAACCTGTCTTACTAAGGCAAAACTTTGTTGAGTTTCACTAAACACATATTGTAGCTGCGCTGGGGTGGGAATGGGCCTTGCTTCCACATATTTTTACTAATCTTTATGTGGGAAAATGTGGTTGGACATGCCAATGATGAATTTCTGAGCAACTCGTAATTGGCTGGCTTCACTGTAACTAGGGCCTTACAATCTGCTTGATTAATTCTTTAAGGACTACTTTAGCCAAGTTGCATGATTTCCAAAGATATAGAAGGTCAGATATTACACTAACAAAGGACCTCTGCACAGAATGCCTCACTGGGGTTTCTTCAGGCCCTTCATAAAAATAATTAAAATTTTTCTCCCCAAATTGCATTTTAACATAATAGGCAAATATAAATGCCAAGTGTCTTTTATTGAATACTAAGTACAACTTTTGGAAAAGTTTATCTATTATTCTCATTATTTTTTCCAGGGCAAAGATCATTTTAAGAACTAGGAGAGTTGATAGGCAATTATAACTATATGTTGATATATAATAGAAGAATAATTTTTAAAGGTTTTTAGCACTGTAATAATAATGTGAAAGTTGTTCATAGGTGAAAGATCTTTTTTATTTAATTTTCCATCTGACTTCATTAATGCTAAAAACCTATAATAGCTGCATGCTTTTTTTACTTAATACATAAGGCCACATTTAGAAATTAAATTGACTAAGTTTATTTTGACAGTGAATTCTTATTCAAAGCTGTAGGATATTTTTAATACATAAGGACTAGTAATGTTTTTCAAACATTTTGAATTGTAATAAAGCTTATGTTCCTGTCAAAGAACATATTCTATTCTCCACTGTTTCCACAGTAATACATTGAAGGTGTTTCCCAGAGACGATACAGATAATCAAATGGGCCTATTATGAGACAGATGAAGAACTTGTAATATTTACATTTTTGTTCCATCGTTAGTGCTTCTAAAGTCTCTGTTTTGGCAATCTGGCATATCCAATTTTTTTTTTTTTTTTT